ATCACCAACTGCATTTTCATTATTTTCGATAAATTCATTTCGTTTAATCTTTTTGTCATACTTTCTTTTAGTGCATTGACAATTTTTTTGATTTCGACTTGAAGATAGTCCAAACATATCAAACATTTAGATTGGCACCTTTGTAGACAATGATTGTGATAACCATGTCCACACGCGAGTATATACACTAAAATTATTCAAAATTAGTATAGTTGGTGTAATTACAACATACACTATTTATTATCATATTAACTTTATAGTTAATTTTAAATGTGACAAAATTTTACTTTTTTAACTTTTTTTTTTGTTTGCTTACATTCATTTTTTTAAAAAAGAAACAAATTTATTTTACATTCAACATTTTACCATTATATACATACTAATTGTTTATTACCATAATGACTACTAGTCTTTTAAAGGATTTAAGGAATAAAGAGAAAAGAGAAAAAATATTTGATAAATTGGAGATGTCGGAACGTATTATTTTTAAAAATTTCATGAAAAACTTGGAGAATCTCCCGAGAGTGATGAAGAAAGCCCAGATTTTAATGTGAAGTATTGAATTAAAATACTTTTAATGTAAAGTTAATTCAAAACTCTCACACTTTTTTTATTAGAGTAATATCATACCAAAACCTGGAAGCGCAAAACATACAAGTTTGTCAAAAGTACTAGGGTGATAATAATTACAAAGGTTCAACGCATGAAAACCTATACAAATTAATGAAACTCAAAAACAACAAAAGTTGCAAACACAAGTATTATATTAAATAATATGTACTAGCACAATTACCTTTATGTCTAAAGAAATAAATGAAAAAGAATAAGAAGTGTAATTGAATCATTAATTTTTGTGCACCTTGGTAAAAAATATGTATATTTTTTGGAATTTTTACCTCTTATTTAGATCTTGCAATCTGCTGGATTAACTGGGTTATTTTTAACCAAGCAAAGCTTTCAAAGGAAGGTATGTTCTCGCAAAACATTCTTTGTTGTCACAATGTATTTTAGTCATGTTACTTATGACCCACTATGCTACTACTATTATTATGTTATGCGCCTTAAAAATTTTGTTTCTCATCTAGTTTTTGATAGGACCAAGATCTGAGGATCTTATTTTGCCCAAACATAAAGAAAAGAATAAACAACTTATCAATATAAAAAAATAATATGCAAGGTTCATTATTTTTCCTCTTTTTTTTTTTTTTTACTTTAAAATAATTGAAAATTCTGTTTCACAATATAAAAAAGATCGACGTTCAATTTTGTCCATTATAATTATTATTATTGTGCGCAATTAATGATTTTGTGTAATTGTTAATTTAGTAATGATATTCAACCCAATCAAAATTCTTTTTTACGTGATTGACACAAATCATTACCAAATATGCAAATGTCCGCTATGCTTAATTTTTGTTAATAAGGCGACACAACTAAACTTTTTAGGTTCTCATCACTAAAAATTTTCTGAGTGACCTCTAATTTTTTAATATGAAATTTGCAAAAAATTTTTTTTTTAAACTCTATTTTTCAATAATAATGGTTGTGTAACAATTCTTTCCGATCGTACACCACCGATTCATTTTTTTAATTAATGCAATGTTGTATATAATCATTATAATTATTAATAGTGGTATTATTGCAGCAATATCAACCAGAATATTTTGATGTTGAATTTCTATAAAAATAAACTAGTCAAACGTTTATTAGGGTATACAGTTTTATCAAAAGTTTGACCTTTATTAAATCGTGGTTGTTAAATTAAATATTAAACGGTTGTTAAAATTAACCAAACAGATTTTAATATATGATCACCCAACTGCGATTTTAAATTACTGTTCAAACCGGGTTAGCATTTAAACCATTTAATATTAACACCAGTAATACTACCAATACACAGTGAATCTCGGTTTAACGAATAGTTTTGGCAATTATTATTAGAGAAAATTTCCAAAGATCCGTTATATCGAGAAGGTTTTTATTAATATTAAGGATTTATTATGAAACCGTTTTTGAACTTCATCCCGTTAAACCGGGATTTTTAATTTAGTGACCGTTGAATCGAGGTATTAATAAATGGCACAGTCGGATATTATGCATTTCCGTTACCTAATAGGTATTGTGGAACAAGGAAACAGGATCTCTGATGCTAATAATAACTATTTCTCATAGTTAATTTTTTTGTAATTATAATATATCGATCACCAATTGAATTGTATGCTTCATCGTTGGAGATTTTATAAGTGGTATATGAATGAATGTTAATTTCGTGAAAACGTTGATCATATTTTTTTAATAATAATAAATAGTTACTTTCCTTTATTTGTTCATTTATTAGGTCGAGAAAGTCGTTAAAAGAGGAAATTTAAGGGTTATCAAATTAATTAGAATTACCTTATTTGGGTAATTCTATACTTATATGAAAAATGATTAATTATTATGAAACAGGAAAAAACAGAAAGAATGACTGACGATTCATTATTTATATCATGTACGATCGATCGATATATATATATATATATATATATTGTCTTCTCTTATTTTTTTTAAAGTAAATAAAATTTATTAGAAAATTTTCTCAAAAAACAAACACATTCTTTTAAATTATCATCATTTTATTATATATAAACAATGGCCAAATTCGGTGATTTTAATAGCGTTTGTCAGGAAATCGCACTCACGGTATGTCCGCTTATTGGTGCAGAACAAGGAATCGAACCATCATGTTATTCAAGAAATATTGAAATTGGAGGGTCTTTGGTTTTTCAACCTGGTAAATATGTGCTTGTGTTTTTGTGTGTGTCTATACGTAAATACATATAAAATATTCTAATTAAACGCGTATATTTAGCTACACTTATCATACACCTTGTCGCTTTGATGATGACTTCTATCATGATTTTTCATATAAAATCAAAATATACTGCTGTCGGTTAGTAGAAATATTATTCTTGGTACTTTTATTGATTACGACTTTGTCATTTGCTAGCAATCGATCAATATTAATTAATATATCAATCTTTATTGTAAAATAGGCCGTAAAGAAATCGTATTGTTCTTTTATTTATATATGATGGTTACCTTTTTAGAATTTTTGCTCATTTCCGGTGTCATTCCCACAGCATCCAAAGTTTATCCTGTAAGTATTTTTCACTATTTACCATATACATACATATATATAAAAACAATAATAATAATAATTTTCTTTGACACGATGATTACGATTGTTATATAGTATTTCACAGCTATACATATTGGTCTAATAAGCGCAACATTTTGGTGTTTATTGCTTAATGGATTCGTCGGTTTTCAATTTTTTGAAGACGGAACTTCATTATCACTTTGGGTGAGCTTGCACACGAAATAATCATTAAATTTTATTATATTGCTTGCAGGGATGCCTTAAGTATTATAGAGTTATATTGAACTGTGTGTCTGTAACAATATAACAGGTCGCGCTATGTTGGATTGTGTGTCTGTAATACTATGGTGAGGAATTACGATTTAAAACTTTCGGTCATTCCAAAGCAAATGTTTTGCAAAAAGTTTTACAAGTTAGTGTCGTGTTTTTTCCTACTATACCTTTGTCACACCCTGCAGTTATTAACTGAGCAATCTTATTGCACAAGGCAAGATGACTTCTTGTCTGAAGTGGGAGGTATGTCATGATGACGGATCTTCAGGTTCCATTATAGAATATGCTGATAAGTTTCATTGATATGTAGGCCAACCACACCCTGCAGTTGTTGATTTTATTGCGCAAGGCAAGATTATTTCTTGCCTGAAGTGGAAGGTGTGCTATGATGGTGGATCTTATAGGCTTCATCATAGCATACATGGCTTGACATTCTAATTCGTAATATTTTTTTTATTATTATGTTATTTACATAGAATTTTAGTAAAGACCCCGCAAATTCAACATATCATTATTCAAAATTAGCAAAGATTGTTATTGAGGATCGAGTTAATAAAGTAAGTACTATCTTTAATCTTAATAGCATGAATGATGTGGATATTTACACCTTTCCTCTTAATTAGCGTGAAATCCAGAGTGTTACAATAGCAAGGTCGGCAGTGACAAAGTTCTGAGGAAATCACAATAGAGATGAAGAGATGGTGGAAGAGCCATTGATAGATTTTGCAGGATTAAGTGACTTCGAAACAACTCTGAATGGTTTCGACAATGAAGATTTAATTAAAGAAATGAGCGAATCAAACATATCAGAATTTAAATATACATTTCAAAAAAATGCATAATGACAAAAAATGGTTATGCATTTGGAATAAAATGTCGATTTGAACAGTATATAAAGTCATGTTCATTTGCAGATTTTGCACAATGTGACTTGCCTGCATTAATTTTTGTTTTCAGCTTAGTACATTCATTTATTATCGACACCGATAATGAAACCTACATTCAAAATAAAATATTTGCCTTTGAAGAACTCAAGGAAATTTAATACAGCAGCAAAAGGTTTGCTAGATGTGTCACTCGATTTATTAAAATTTATTAATTCTTTTTGAAAGAACACAACAAAAGATTAACAGATAGTACTTGACATGCGACAAGAATGAGAAGATAGAAACTTTGTCAAAACCAAACACTCCAATTTTGACTGGATAAAAAATACTGTTCATAATTTATTATTAGAATATGAATTGACATATTACAGAAAAAACATCTGGAGGCATGGTACATGGTAGAGTATTAGCTAGTGGTCTAGTGTTTACCATTACTAACTTGTAATTATAGAATCAAACAAAAAAAAATAAATAAATAAACGGGTTTTTAGACCAATAGTTCTCCTATATGTAAGGAAAAAATCTAGTGTATAAAGTTATGTGGATCCCAGTGGATTCCTAAAGTATATATTCTAAAGAATTTATTTCAATCATTATAATCGGAATTTGTTTTTAAAAATTTTTTTTTCATTAGCACAAGTATCCACGTTAACTCATATGAATTGATCGACAAGTGTTCTCCATATTTGGAAATCTCCATGACTGTCAATAGAAGACCATTACTTATGACACGCACTATAGTACGTAGTAAGATCATCTTTCACAGTTCGTAATGTAATAATGAAATCTGAATTAAAAAAAAGATTTTTCTACTTCTTTTAAATAATAATGATAATAATACCCTACGAGAAAAATAAAAATTAAATAATGTCAAGCCAAACAAAGAGGATTTTCAAAAGATAGGATTTGAAGAAAAAGGTGATACAACTTCTGCAACTGTCACAAACTCTCCAAACTCGGCCAATTCACTATGTAATGAACAACAATTACTAGGCAAGAAAATGATCCAGTCATTATTATTACAAATAAAGAAGAGAATGATAATAATAGGAACGAGAATCATCATGGAGTTTATCAAGATGACAATGATGAAAATCAATTTCAAAGTTCCAAAATCATCCTATTGAATAATTTTTTTATTATTTTAAATTCTAGATTTTTTGTTTGGGGTAGACCGGTTGCAGAAATATAATTGCTTAAAGAAAAGTTGGTTGTAAAAAAAGGCTGGATTGCAACTGATAAATTTAATAGAGTTTATGGAGTTTATCAAATAGTTATAGGTAGGCTCCTGGGCGGTTCAGATTTATAACACCGGGATTTTTCTTGATAATATTATTTTCTTTTATCTACACAAAAATTGGATGGGAAAATATTTACTCCAACGCTTCATTCAGAGCATTACAATCAATGGTTGGAGCTATAGTATTGAGAGCCGTGCACAATATAGGCGAGCATTCATTTATTTTGCACAAATCAAGCAAATTCAATTGGTGGTTGTTTAGTTTTGCCGTTTTGGGAGTATTTCAGAGTGTTTTAAGAATGAATTATCTTGTCACATTGGTGATATGCGAATTGGCATTTATGTTTATCGATAGGAACTATCATGTTCTCGGTGTTTGCGTTGATTTTAGAGGAATTGGTTGGATTTTTTATTTATATTGGTTTCAAAGGTTTGCCATCACTTCAATCATTAGGTGTAGGCGTTGCTAAAACAACTGACCCGGCCATATTCTTGGTTTGGGTTTATTAGCTGGTAGTTTATCATTGGATGTGCTATTAAATTTTTATTTATTTCCACATACAGTCAAGCCCTGTCACAGCGGGTGGACGAGACACATAAGAAAAATTTTATATGGTTTTATATGTGAAGCAAAAATTTTAAAAATCCGTTATGACAAGGATTTAATTATGGTCCGTTGTGACAAGGTTTGACTGTACTTGCAAAAAATAATAATATTTATATATCGTAAGGCAACCATTCCATTTTTACAAGCAGAAGCTATAACAATAGGAGGGTAGATGACAAAACAAACATTTTTGGATGCGATAGCTATTGGAAATGTATTTCCATCATCTTTAGTAATGTTTTCAACATTTATTGGATATAAAGGAGGCTATGTCTATGGTGGTGTTGGTTATGGATTTTTAGGAGTTGTATTGATTACTATTGGAATATTCACTCCATGTTTCTTATTTACAATCTTGGGACATGATCTGTTAAAGAAATTGGTTCGTAATCAATTCATGGCAACATTTTTTGGATGGTGTTACAGGCAGAGTTGTTGGTATTATAGCAGTGACAGCTTTCGATCTGCTTAAAGCTTCAATAACAACCTCGGCTAGTTTGGTACTATACCTGCCGGGACTGAAAGAGATTTGGTTGCTGCTAAGCAAAGTTCCCTTGCTGCAGTTATTTACATATTAACTTTGGGTATTTTATATAAATTTAGAAAACCTTTGACTTCGCTTTTATTGGTTATTTTCGGTGCTATCATTGGTCAATATTTATTCATAGAAGAATTATAATAATAATAATAATAATGAGGGATGGATATATATTTATAAAATGAATTTATTAATTTATTAGAAAGTAATTTAATTATATAATTTAATTGATTTTGATATGGAATCTAGAATAATAAGTTGTCCTTTGAGAGAGAAAAAAAGCAAAATTTGATTTATTTATTTAATTGAAATAAAATCATAAAGAAATAAGCTTTGTGAATTTTCCATTCACTAATAGGATTATTATATATACTTTCTCCTAGTTTTGATGTAGGTTCTGCTAAAAGTTCTGGATCTGACATTGTCACTTTAAGGAAGAAGAGGCGGAGAGGAGGATGTAATGAGGAATTGAAATTATTACTCGATCTAGAACCAAGTCCAAATTCAGTTACTGCAATTTATTGATTATGCTTTCCTACGTTTTGATCTTTACTATCACAATCTGCTATAGATTCTTTATTTGTATTGATAATTTCTTCACCTTTAATGCTATTTTAAATATATCCATTTCTTTTTGCTTTTTCTTTGAATAAACATTTCGTTATTAAAAATTTCATATTAAAAATTTCATATTAAATTTCCTCCGCATTTTTTACAAATAATTGATCGGTATTCCCTGATTCATAAACAGATCGTCAATTTAAAAGTTTCAGTAATTGTATTGTGATATGGAAACAGTTAATTTTTCCACGATGACGATTCTTTAAAATTATTTATTTATTAGTTTTGAACTAGTTTACCGCAACCTTACTTTAATAAAAAAAAAAACCAGTTTACTCTAGAATTTTCCGTAATCTACTACGATTAGTAATTGTTGTTGTTATGATATAATATGGAACTTGCTGGAAAAAATGTCTTAAAAGCTTATAAAACCTTGCATTTTATTATGCCCATTTAATATTTTTTTCAAAAAATAAAAAAATCTATCAATAAAAACTGTGAATATATTTTTTTATTTGCTAAAAAATAAACAAACAAATACAAAATGCCAGAAGTAGCAGAAGGGAAAGCAGGTAATTACTATTTATTAATTTTTGAATTTCAAAACAACGATAATAATAAAATCATCTATATTCATAAATTTATCAAACATTTATTATATGTAGTTGGTATTGATTTGGGAACCACATATTCTTGCGTTGGTGTTTGGCAAAATGACCGAGTTGAAATTATAGCTAACGACCAAGGCAACCGTACAACACCTTCATATGTTGCATTTACTGATACTGAGCGTTTAATTGGTGATGCCGCAAAAAATCAAGTTGCTATGAATCCACATAATACTGTATTTGATGCTAAACGTCTTATTGGTCGTCGCTTTAATGATCCAGAAGTTCAATCTGATATGAAGGTACATATTAAAACATTCTAATAATATGATAATTATGTTATATATATATAAAATATTTTAATTATTAATATTAATTCGTTTCAATCTTTGTTAATTCTTACATCATCACCCCTCTATAATAATAATTGTAGCATTGGCCATTCAAAGTTATTGATAAAAATACCAAACCATATATCAAAGTAGAGTATAAAGGCGAATCTAAAGAATTTACTCCAGAAGAAATTTCATCAATGGTGTTAACAAAAATGAGGGAAACTGCTGAAGCTTTTCTTGGTACAAAAGTATCAAATGCAGTTGTTACAGTACCTGCCTATTTCAATGATTCTCAACGTCAAGCAACAAAAGATGCTGGTATGATTTCTGGATTGAATGTGCTTCGTATCATCAATGAACCAACAGCCGCTGCTATTGCATATGGTTTGGATAAGAAATCAAAAGGGGAACGTAATGTGTTGATTTTTGATTTGGGTGGTGGTACCTTTGATGTTTCATTGTTAACAATTGAAGATGGTATTTTTGAAGTCAAGGCCACTGCTGGTGACACCCATCTTGGTGGTGAAGATTTTGATAATCGTCTAGTAAATCATTTTGTTCA